GATGTGGAAACAACCCAAGTGCCCATCAATACATGAGTGGATTAATAAAATGTGGTATATGTATACCATGGAGTACTATTCAACTATAAGAAACAATGGTGATATAACACCTCTTGTATTCTCCTGGATAGAGCTGGAACCCATTCTAATGAGTGAAGTATCCCAAGAATGGAAAAACAAGCACCATATGTACTCACCAGCAAATTGGTTTCACTGATCAACACCTAAGTGCACATATAAGAATAACATTTATTGGGTGTTGGGCAGGTGGGGGGGAGGAGGGGATGGGTATATGCATACATAACGAGTGCAATGCGCACCTTCTGGTGAATGGACACGCTTGAAGCTCTGACTTGGCGGTGGAGGGGAGTAAGGGCAACATACGTAACCTAAACATCTGTACCCCCATAATATGCTGAAATAAAAAACAATAAGATATGCTTTGAAGTTAAACATGTAATACCACTTGTACCATTACTAACTTGACCTTGGGCTAGGGATGTCATCCCTCTGAGCCTCAGCCTGGCACATAGCAAGCACTCAGCAAATGCTTGTTATTACCAACCCAATGAGACACATATTAATATTAATACCCCCATTTTACAGATGAGGAAACTGAGGCTCAAAAGAGTTAAAGAATTGCGCTGGATTACAAAACCTAAGACTAATGACTGAAGCTTTCAAAACATAGCTCGGGGATCTCTACTCATGTCGGCTCTGCCATGGCAGAGGAATGAAGGTCTTCCCCTCACCCCCATATCATTTACAGATGGCATCACAGGGATCTCAGCATGGCTTCAGGGAAACAAACTAGGAGGAAACAGCTGCAAGTGGATTCTGGCAACTTCCACAGCATACAGCCTTCCAGGCTGCACATACCAGCACCCCTGTCTGGAAACATTAACATTAAACCTTAACATTAACGTTCTCTCTGTCTTTATTCATTGCTGGTGTTAATACATTTGGGTTCTCTACAAAAGAAGTCAATATCTGCTTATTTTTTCATTAGCCACTAATGCACATATTCCTGTTTGCAGGAGACTGTGCTGATTCACACAGATTATCTCTGCTCACACCTATTAGAATTTTTAAAGCCATGTTTTTGGCAGCAAGTGGCAGCTGAAGAATGAGACCAGCTGCAGGAAATTAAATTGGCTGAACTTTCCCCTTTGGCATGCGCTGTTTGGATTTCTAGTCTTCCCTCCTCCCTGAGCCTAATTTTTCCTAAAACTTCCACCCAATGGGTCATAATTAATGACCCAAGCAACCTCCAGTGGCTTCATTGTTAGTGGGGAGGGGGGTGTGTGGCCTGAGTAATTTCTGTGCCTTTCTCTAATAGGGTCGTGTTTAGCAGAATGGATTGCCCCGATGCAAAGCCATTTGTGGAGGGATGACCTTGTGAAGCTCAGTGAACTTAACTGGAGAAGAGCAGGAGAGACTTCAAGGGGACTGAGAGGAGAGCCAGAGAAAGTTATCATCAGAGAATTCTGGAATGCAAAGGCTGGAAAGGGGTTTAGTCCAGAAAGTGAATTTCCACTCATAAACCAACTCTGTTTAACTGGTAGTAACTGCCTGGGATACCGGGACGAGAAGGCTATGGAGACCGAGCCCAGGCTCCACATGGAGAAACATGTTATGATCAGTTATCGATGTCTGCCTGGGCTTGGGAGAGGGGAGCAGACGGAGATGGGACATACGTTTGCCCTGCCTGAAATAATCTTTCCTTCTCATTTTAAATAAAGGACAAATGAAGCCTGGAGTTAAGAATCAACTTGTCCACAGCCACGTAGCAAGTCAGTGACAGAATCGATCCTGAAACCCAGGTGTTGCTCTTCGTACGAGGCCATGCAGCAGAAATGACAAAATCAGAGAAGAGAGCTTTTCTTAGTGCAAGAGTATATAATTCCTCATAAACAATGTAAAGAAAAAGAGGACCGAAGCAAGATACGGAAGGCTTAATCTCCCTCACCAGCCCTGCGATGCTGCGGAAAGCACTTAGCCTCTTGCAGACTCAGTTTCTTTACCCGGAAAATGGAGAGAAAATGGATTAAACGCTCCCTAAGGGATGGTGTAGGTTCATGATCCCACGGTGCTGTCAGATGACTGAGAAGACATGAATTGATCTGGCTGTGGAATACAATAGAGATGGCCACAGAGACCTGAGCCTGCTTCAGCACTCCAGCGCGTGGACAGCTCCCTGTTCTAACTCTTGCCTTTGGTGGTGGGCAGGGTGGGGAGAAGGTACCAATCAGCCCCACATGGCCATGTCGAAAGACCTCAAACAGGAACCCGGGTCTCATGTGTGACTCCTCTGTCATACTCAAAACAAAGCCCATTCGTAGCAAGCCTGAGAAGATAACTGGCATCACAGGTCCCACCTAAGCCTCCTCTCCTGGCTGAACCTGTTGCCCTGGAAACAAGAGCTTTCTCCAGCAACAAACTAAGGAGAGGGATGAAATTTCAGGTGACAGCAGAGCCCCACTTCCTTCTTGTTCCCTCATCCCTTGTTCTCTTAAACTGTGGTCTTTCACCCAGTTCAACAAAGAGACCGAGGGCTTTTTATGCATCAGGACAGAGCCAGGGCCCATGGGAAAAGGTAGATGAAAAGATCTAGTCCTTTCCCTTTAATGAGTTCATAACTCCAGAGGGGGAGACGACATCTGCACAACTGAAAATGCCAGGGAGCGTTGGATAACGCCATAATCGAGCCAAATCATCCCCTGATGGGGGTGAGACGATTCTGGATGGGTCGGGGGAGGGTTTTATCCCTCTTTCCTTCACACTCCTGAGCAGCTCCCAGGCGTTCTGAGTGGCTAGCAGGGCTGTGTCTCTCACTTGACCGGGAGCTCCTCGAGGGCAGCGACTGTGTTTGCATCCCGCTGTTCTCCCAGATGGCCAAGCACGGGGCTTTGCACATATTAAGCATTTGACAAAAAGAGGAATCAAGTCTTTTCGACTGGATTCTACACATTTGGTGACAGTGGCCACGTCCAGTGAATCTCTAGCGTCAGGTGGTGGGAACGGTCAGACAGACAAGGGTCTCATCTTAGACCACACTAGCTGTGTGACCTTGGGGAGGCGACCGAAACTCTCAGGATCAGTTTTCCCATCTGGAAAATGGTGACAATAGGACCAACCTCATAGCATTATTGCCTGTATGAGATACCAAGCTGTGCATGAAGTGGCTAGGCACAGTATCTGACACCTAGTACCTCCTCAGCAAATATTAGTTTCCTTCTGTGTACCCCTCTCCACTCACTACCTAGTCAGGTGCTTTAGCCAGAGCAGGCGCACAACGAAAGTTTGCAGACTGTAAGGAAACTGTGGGTGATTTCATCCCTTGCTCATGGACAACACCTCTGCCTCTGCTCACACCGCTTCAGGGTTTTATTTGGGGAGTGAATTAAGTTTGGGTTTCTCTGTTTAAACTGATTTTTTAAAAAGTTGTTTCTTGGAACAGAAAGTGCTGAGGGAGCGGGGTTGGGGAGCACGGCTGATCTACCCTGGAGCCAGGGCCAGGGGAGGGTCCCCCCGGCAGGTACCTTGACGCGGTGGATGCTGTTCCCACTCATGCTGCTGCTCCTGTCGATGAGGAAGATGAACTCTCCGTGGGACTTTCTTAGGTTCGGCTGGACTGACTGGAGGTCAGGACAGAAGTTGAGCATGATGACAGGGTGGTGGGGAATGTCCTTGTGGAGGCGTTTCCGGATGATTTCTGTCTGGAGGAGAAAGGAAAACTCTCTGACACGGGCAAGCAGGGGGTGCAGAGATACTCGTGGAGACCACGCTGGTCCCCGTCACTCATCGCGTGTCATCCAGATCCCACCCAGGCTCTGCACAAAAGACCTCCGGGCTGA